TTTGATGGGCCGTCTGACGGCGAAAGTAAAAGAATAGCTACCTCTTATAAAAGGCAAGGACTCATTTTGTTTGACACAAAAAAGTCGAATGTTTTATTTATTTTTAAATTCATGTTTGTTACAGGAGGATTTGAGATGAGTGTAGCTAAAACCGGCCCTCATTTCGCTCAGCATCTGTTTCCGAGAGGCAACCTGGTTTGTTGACGTGCCGTTTGTTCCATGAGTTTCTATTATAGTTCGGTCTCTATTTGCCCAAAGTTGCCTCGAGTTCCATCATTCGTCGCCATCTCTTTTCTTTCTGTTTTAAGGCCGAGATCTGAGACATTTTGTGGTTCGGAAAGACAGGGAAACGAAGAAAAGGTACTGCAAAAAGCTTGTCGAAATTCGCCATTTCTGAAGTAGTATATTAATGGGTTGATAGCTGATGAAGTTAGCGCAGTTGCCTGAACCCACGGCCATGCTAATGAAAGCAGTTTCTCAAAGAGGCAATCCTTCTTCGTTGTATAATAATGATAAGTAATAATAGTCAGAATGAAACAGGGAATCCATGTTATGATACAAACACTAAAAACGAGTCCAATTGTTTTAATGGCTTTCAAATTTTTAACAACGCCACGGAGTGTGTCGTCATTGGAGTGATGACGTTCTTCCCTTATTCTCTTACCTTGTGTTCTGGCAGCCTTAAAAATAAAAGCATAAGACAAAATAACCACAAATATTGGAAAAAGATACGTTATGGCTGCGAAGAACAACAACCCCGCTCCATCTTTTATAAATATCAAGAAAGGAAGAAACAGTGAGATCACCCACACCGCAGTTATCACCACATGACATCTTGTCTTGGTTACAAATTCTTGATAGCGGTAAGGAAAGCGAATCGCAATTAACCTGTCAACGGAAGCACAACACAAACTTAACGATGTGGCGCCAGCAGAGTGAATCCATAAGATCGGCTTTATGATCTTAGTCATACTTCCATGTCCACTTTGAGGCTGCGACAGATACGTGGCCAAAAGTATTGGGTTCAAAACAAGCCCAACGAAAAAGTCTGCTACGGACAATGAGGCCAAGAATCGATTGGAAATTGTACGTAAAGACTCCTTCTTGTAGAGAATGCCCAACACTGTTGCGTTTCCCACCACTGCTGCCAAACCAGACAAGGAGAACCACAGTGAAAGAAATATGGATGCCCCACTACTCCGCCGTTCTTCCGAGCAGCTAAGGTTCATGTTCAGACCTTTGTAAGTTAGGAGGGAAAGGTTGGATAAACTTTTGAAGGAGTTACAGCTTAGCTATTGATTATCCATGAGCGCAATTACAGACAACCTGTCCTAACTCCGCTTACCAGTCATATGTCAACTTCTATTCAAATTTTGCATGAAATGATTAAATAGTTTGGTAGCAGATGGCTTTTTTCGTGATATGAATGTTTTAATTTCTTTTGAAGATGGTAGCACAGAATTAAGGCAGAAATTTGTTTGGTTCGACATAATATTAATAACATTAATGATAACAACAATAATTCATTCATCAGCAGAGCGTTTTTTTTTCCTGTCCTGTCTCTAGGTTTAGTATAATCCAAAATACCTTTCATTGATTTTTTTTATTTTTCGACGGTTGAATATTTATTTGCTTGTGTCGATCAGCCACAACACAAATGAACTTCAAGTTACCCGGGCTGCGATGGTTGTCTCACCAATAAGTCGTTCTTCTTCCAAGCAACTAATATTCATGTTAGGTGATTCGGAAGAAAGGAGAGATCTGGAAACACGTATGAGGTCGTTCCTACTAAGCCACTTCGCTCGGTTACGAACAGGTCAAATTTTAGCATAAATAATCTGTTCGCAGATGGCTTCTTTTGTAACATAAACATTTTAAATTTTTGCGGCGCAGAATACCGTTGGAAACATGTTTACTCGGAGTTAACTCGTTATACCTCAGTCATAAAGCGACATCTTGTATCCCAAGGGAGAGCATTTTTGGAAAACCTTTCAATTGAAATTATCCCTTAACTTAGATAAATTGATGCAGAATACCCCAGCACCTAAGTGCATTTGACTGCTTTTTAGCTTTGTCTCCATATTTGAATATCCTTTACTATGTCCAGCCGTCAATATCTTCTTTACTTAACATAAACAACTCATATTCTTCAAAATGTAGTCACCACTTTTTTACTAATTAGCCCGACGACAATCTGTGAGGGCTTGGACACTAAACTACTTATAATTAAGGGAAAGGGAACTGTTAACCATTGACAATGTTATCTGGCTATTCCAAAGTGCTTCAGAAACTGATCAAAGCTGAAACTGAACACATCCGGAGACTTGCTCAGTAAAAGTTGAGAAAATTGCATTCATTTACTTAGTCTCTAGGGAAAAGAAGATAATTATCTCTGAGGAAAAGAAACATCAGTACTTGTTTCTAATGGTTATCCTTCTTCATTTGTATTAAAACTCGCAAAGACAACAAGGTAACAGCCAACAAAAGAACCCGCGCAGGAACTTATATCTACTACCGCTCTCCCTTACATCAAGGGTGTATCAGAGGTTCTTTGCCGCTGCCTACAACATCAAGCCATACGAACCGTTTTCGAGTCGGACACAACACTTGATTAGGTCTCGCTTAGTACGACCTAAAGACGCCCTGAAACCATCAAAACAAGACGGTGTCGTTTACAAGATCCCATATGAATTCGGCAAAGTGCATATCGGTGAAACTAGGATATCAATGCGAGAAACGATAAAAGAACATGACAGAGACATACCGTTTGCTCGTACTCAGACCTCGATAAACAATGAACACATATTTTATTACATGGAGAGTCAGTCTCCTTAGTAACCGTCCTTCAGATTTCCTACAATGCTATCCCTTCCTCCCAAATAAAAAACAAGAAACGTTTGTTCCAATCCGACCTGTATTCCTTTCCTATTGTGCCTGTGGTCCCCAGAGCGTTTTTCTGTGGCGGTAAAATAAATCGAAAATATAAACATAAAAGAACTGCACTCGAGTGACAGCGGCTACATACAGTTGCTTTTTTAGTCCCCGGGTTGTCCAATGGCCTTAGAGTGTGATTGAAAAAGCTCGCAGAAAGAGACACAGATAAAACGCCATGCATGCTTCTCAAAATAATGGGTAAGTTTTAATTCTTAAGCACTTACTTTTAGCACAAAACTAATAAACGTCTGGAGATATCATTCCAATACACCATCACTCGTTAATGGCTTGCCACCTTTATGTCAATAAAAACAGTCCTATTTTACTGAGGTTGACCCTAAAGCTCTGTCTCTATCTCTCTGTCCCAGTCCAACAATTTCCAGATATTCGGCCCCGATCCGGTCTCAAACCAAACTGACGTGTACTTTCTACTGTAAGGCGTTAACGTAACCATCGAAAGGTGCGGCGGAATGCGAGGCGAAATTCTTTATTCCGAAAGTAGTATATCAATGGATTAATAGCAGATGAGGTAAAAGCGATAGCCTCTACCCAAGGCCATACAGTAGTATCTATTTCATCAGAATCACAGAGGTTATTTGCCGCAAAATGATAACACTGAACTAAAGTAAGACCAAACTGGGCATCCATGAAACAACATAACACTTACGACTGTTTTAATAGCTTTATAGTTTTTCACAATACGAGCTCAGATAATTTTCTCCGGATGCTATTCCTCTACATTGGTGTCTGGCCTCTTTGAGCATGAAAATACAACTGATAGAAACCACAAAAAAAGGAGTAACACATATCAAAAATGCAAAAGATAACCACAACGCTGCATCGTCTTTGTCGTTATTCACTAATATCGTCGAGAAAGGAAGTGCCAATGAAAATAGCCATATCAAAATAATGACTGTGTAGCACCTTTTCTTTGTAATAATTTCCTGATGACGGAAAGGAAAGCGAATCGCAATAAACCGGTCTACAGAAACACAGCACAAGCTGAAAGTTGTTGCGGTGGTCGTGTGAACCTAGAGCATGTCTGTGAAGAAGAACAAATCACTATCAACCGGTGGCCGAATGAGACAACCGCTGGCTATCCAGATTGGGTCCATGACAAGCCCAACGAAAAGATCTGCTACCGACAGCGAGGCTAAGAAGCGGTTGGAAATTGTTCGCAATGACTCGCTTTTGTAGAACAAAAACAACACCACTGCGTTTCCAGCTACAGCTGCTAAACCAGACAATGTGAACCACAAAGATAGAACGATCGAAGCTGTAGTGCTGGGTTGTTCTTCCGGGCAAGCAGCATCCATGTTCTGCGGTTGGCAAACGGTGACCGTAGAAGTTTGAAAATAAGCTTACAGAAATGAAATTTGCAATCGCTTTTCCTTTTTATGGACCATATGTTACTCAAACTAACGTACTGTTTTCTTTTTTATCTGCTGTTTATTGGTGGAAACGTGGAATTCATTTAAGTACATTCTTAACTTCATCAAATTACCTACTAAAAAACTACATAAATCAAAAAGATATCAAACTACAAAAATTGTTGCGAAACTCAATCCTGAGCTTCATTGATAGCTTATCGAGTGACCACACAAAAAACAGCTTGATTCGAGTTACGCTTATTTAGCCATGCTTAACAGTCTAGAGCCGGTCCATAATATCCTATTTATAAATCAGCAATACCACGGTACGCTAAAAAAGGTACCTACGGTGAAATATTCTAGCACATTGATATATAGATATAATCTATATGCAATCTGTAGCTCACTCGCAAGGGCTCAAAGATTCAGGGTGGATCTACGTTATGAAAAGGTTCGTCACTAGATCTGCCAATAACTGTCAAGTTTTTCTTACATCGCCCCAGATTAACTGACCACAGCTTATAACTAAGGCTAATTGGTGACCACCTTTCGGGGTTAAAGAAGAATTCTTTCCAACAATGGAAAGCCGAACACTATATGCTTCTGCTCAAACAAGAAAGCAATATCCTGTCTATCCTCCCTTGGCTTGAACTGAAGTTTCTCGTAGATCAAAGAGAATTATGTAATAGGTTCAAATAAAAGGTTCAATGTTCTGCTTAATCAGAATCTGTTCATGAAAGGTGGGTGGCCAAGTTTATGACTAACAGGTAGTATTCGCTTTAGTTGTCCTTACAGTTGTGTCTCCTTATTTGAAAATTTTCCACGAGCTCCAACATTTCCTGCCTTCCGGGTTTTCTCTTGCTTTGGTCTGAGGTCTGATGCATTTTTATGGTGAGCACAGTGCAATCGATCAAAATTAAAGGTACGTCTGAATGCTTGGCAAAACTCACTATTTCTGAAATAGTATATCAGTGGGTTGATCGCCGATGAAGTAAAAGCCGTTGCTTTTACCCAAGGCAACGCCATGTAATGCAATTCGTGTTCGTTGCATTGTTCATGCTCTATTTTACGGTAATAATAAATGACAAGATCCAAGATTAAACATGGCATCCATGTAATGATGAAAACACCCAGAACAAGTCCAACTGTTTTGATAGCTTTGAAATTGTTTAGAGCCTGGCGTGAGCTGTAATTTGTGCGTTGATGTTCCTTCTTCACTTGTTTGTGTTGTTTATTAGCTGCTCTGAAAATAAAAATGTAGCAGAAAGATACTACGATAATCGGAAACACAAATAATATAAAAGCAAATGACAACCACAGTTCTGCTTGATGATCAATTGCCCCATTTTTGACAAACATTATCGGGAAAGGAAGGAACAGAGAGATTATCCAGATCACAGTTATCACTACACAACATCTTTTGTTTGTTAGAATCACTTGATAACGGAAAGGAAAGCAAACTGCAGTGAACCTGTCAACAGAAACACCGCACAAATTCCATGTCGTTGCTGCTGTAGAGTGAATCCATAAGAAATGTTCGATTTCCTGATTATGTGAAGGCTGGGGAAGATATCCGACTAGGAAGGCTGGCTCCACAACAGCTCCCACCAAGAGATCCGCTATAGACAACGACACCAAAAATCTGTTAGAAACTGTTCGTAGAGACTTGTTTTTGTAGAACAGCCATAACACAACTGTATTACCGGATACAGCTGCTAAACCAGACAAAGCGAGCCACAACGATAGAACAATGAATGCGGCATCGCTCGGTTTATCTTCTGTGCAGTTAGAATTCATGTTTCTTCTCGGCAAAGGGTTGGTTTAGGACCAAATTGACTTATTATTTTCACACGGCTTCCAATATCAACATATAAACTGCCCTGAAACTCGACTCCACAGTTAAACGAGTTGTCGACTTTTGTTTCGATCTTCCGCGCGTGAGGTGAATAAATTATTTGAGACAGAATTCGAATTTCATTTACAGCTTGCGCTGTTTAACATATAATTAAAATGGATAATCTGACATCCACGGCTATGTGTCAAAAGAGAAGTATTAGCTTTTCAACCATTAATAGCAATGATTTAATAATTCATTTACTTACATTGCGCAAGCATCAGTATAAAATTTCTAATTGCGCAGTACAGTTACATTACAGCTATACCAAGATATTAACGCTACAATATATATATGTTATTTGCCGGCTGGGAGGTCCGTATGGTGAAAAACTGCGACCTCGGTCTTGAAAATGCTGCCCTCGGCAGGCCTCGGGCAGTATTTTCAAGACCGAGGTCGCAGTTTTTCACCATACGGACCGACCCTTAGCCGGTAAATAACATATTCATTTTTTTGAAACTTGACGGAATTCTTTCCGAAAGAACCCTAATGATTTAGGGCTGTAAATACGGCAAGATCTTCCATAAACTGTTTTTGAGCGAGTAAATGGTAGTTAAAATAGAGGTGATGAAAATTCAAGAGAGATGCCCCAGCGAAACATTTTCATTTCCGTAACGATAATTTAAAAGGCTTCCGAACAAACTTTGAAACATTATTTTTACAAGTATCTGTCACAATCTGACAACTGTCAATTGGAGAGCGCGTAAGTAAAAAAAGCGTAAGAACATTTGAAAAACAACGGAACTAGTTTGGCAAGGACTGTCATCACAATGTTTTCTTCAAAAATAGTCAATGATCTAACGGGAAGTATTATTCACTCTCATCGACGATTCATTAATGTTCGAAGATTTACCTCTGTTCATTAAGTAAACGGCGAGGAAAGTAGTTGTGAGTAAATTCAATTTTTTTATTTTGAAGTTGTGAAAGTTTGCTCGTTTGTTTGCTGCAATGGCGTGTGTAAATCTGGTCTTTCCTTCACAGAAACTAAATCCGAATGGCACACTCCAACGAGACGCAAGGGGATTTAATGCGGCCTTTTCTCAAAAAATTCCTTCAGTTTCTGTTGTGCAATTTACAGTACAAATGTTCAAATTGAACGGACTTGGAAAGACTCACCGAGAGCGTATATTTGTTGTAGAACTTAAATTAAAACTTCCCTCGCTCTTTCACTGCGAACAAATTGCTTGAGAAAATTCAGGTATTAAGTGAATGAAAGTTCCATCGTTCAGTTTAACTGTAACCAAATATCTCACGTTTTAACTTTCTAGGTACTTTTTGTGAACGATTAAAATTAATTGCAGACGGATTTTAGGCCGCTTGTCAACCAACGTAATGACACTATGGAAACCAATATTTTTCTGTCAACCAAAGTGATTTGAGAGAGAGAAAGGAGAGGATTCATAAGTTATTCATCGGCTTGAGGAAGTGACCGACGTGTTTGCTTAAAAATACTGCCCAGCCGGAAAAACGAGATATATTTATGAAAAATGGCAACGAAAGTTCGGATGTACTTGGCGACTCACGAAAGCGTTACCGTGGCCCTAGGCAGAGATAGGAAAATACTGACCGGGTAAAAAACCAATCAGATTGCAAGATTCGTTACAGTGCCCTCTCAAAAAAAATTAAAAATAAAAAAAGGAATAGAGTAAGAAATACAGAAATATAAAATTACATACGAAGAGTTAAAACAAATTGTGCGAAGAAAAAAGTCTTAATAGCTTTCTTAAACCTGTTTGACGATTCGATTTTTCTAATAGAACAGGGAAGATCGTTCCACAGTTTAGGAGCGGCTGCACGAAAAGAAAGATCGCCGAGCGTAGCTAGTGTTTACCCTTGCAAGGAGCAAGTCGTAAAGCGTCATTGGAACGAAAATTATATCTTCTGGTGTCTCTTACGGAAGTCAGTTCACTTCCTCGAAAAAGGCAAACTAAACATTCGATCTCCCGTCAATATGATCTTGAATTTAGACTCAATAGATGCTTTAAAGTTAATGCTCAGTACACACCACGACTGAAAAAAACAACGGCTAAGAAAAATTACAATATTACAATATGAGAAGGCTTGGACTCTAATAATTGCCGAATAGGAAAATTGAACCCAGCCGTACACTCAGCAATTTTTCAGCGACCAATTCTGCTGTCTGCTCACTCTACATGACTATTACTAGAAATGGCCTCTTACATGGTTTTATCATTGATTAGGAAAAATGTTTAAAAAATTTACGGCGTGTAGACATTATTTTAAATCAATTTTAACAAATCGGTGACATGACCTTCGCGAAACTTGCGACCTTCGCCGATCACCAAAAAATTGAAATGAATACGAGATGGATTTTTGTTGACAAACTCACAGGTGCATAACATTTCAAAAGCTTTTATTTCAGAGAAGCAGACTTGAAGAGGTTAATTAAAGAAATTCAAATGCAAGTTGTTGAGACAAAACTTTGAGCCTAAATTTGAATGTAAAAAATACTTTCACTTTCTATACTCTCAAATCCCTTCAACAAATGCAAAAGAATGATTCAAAATTTTCAAGTCTTAATTCTGTTACGGATTTCACTGAAAACAAGTGCTAACTTTCATTTAATTTTCATTCAAGCTGCCAAGTCAGTCCTTCCTGCTTCTTGCCAGCATCATTAACTGATCAAGCTCAGCGAAGAGTGTCTGATGAGGAAAAATTTCATGTCATGAAAGACTTGAAACTTTTAATTACATCTAAGTGTAAACAAATAATTATGAAAGGGAATTATATGCGGAATGGACGAAGAATGAAATTGATGTTTTGAAAATTGTGTCTTTATGATGGGACTTATCTTATTATTAGGCAACAGCACTTTTTTCTTGAATTTTCCTTAAAGCTTTGTCTCTTTACTTGCAAAACTGACAGGATTTCCAACTTTTCGAGCCATTTGGCTTCGCTCTGGTTTTTGGCTGAGGTTAACGTTTGCTGAATTTTGTCCGTGAACAAAGGGCAGCCAGTGGACGGTGCGACGAAAGGCTTGGCGAAATTCGCTATTTCTGACATAGAAGATCAATGGGTTGATCGCTGATGAAGTAAAAGCGTTTGCCTCAATCCAAGGCCATACAACTTTGTCTACTTTGATGTCGTTACAGAGATGATTCGTCGCTGTATAATAAGAATGAACTACGAGTAAGACAAGACTGGGCATCCAAGAAATAATGTAAACACCTATAATATAACCGACCATCTTCATAGCTTTGAAATTTTTCATAGTACCATTTCCTTAGAATGTTTTCATAGAATGTTTTTTATTTGGAAGCTTTGACGATTTTGGCTGGGAAACATCCTTCTGCATTGACGTCGTGAAGCTTTAAACATAAACATATAACAGAAAGTGACCACAAATAATGAAGCGATAAATGTTATAAATGCCAAAGACAACCAAAGCACTGCACTTGCGATATTTCCCAACAGATCTAATGAAATCAGCCACACCAAAATAATCACCTTACAGCATCTTTTCTTAGTTACAATGTCCTGATAAAGGAAAGGAAACCGATTCGCAATAAACCGGTCTACGGAAACGCAGCACAAGTCAAAGGTTGTAGCGGTAGTTGTATGAATCCACAACATGTACATACTGTAGTGCAAAGCACTCAGTAATGGTAGATGTCCATTGAAAGTTGTTCGTAAAGACTCATTTCTGTAAAACAACCATAACATAACCGCATTTCCTGCTACAGTGGCAAATCCAGACAAAGAGAACTACAGCGATAGAACGATGGACGCTGCACTGCTGAGACGTTCTTCTGGACAGCTATCATTCATCTGATTTATAGACGACATCAGAAGCCGGAGAAGTTTGACATTTTTTTTTACGAATTTACCTAAATTCAATGTATTTAAACAAGGCAGATGTTACAGAAACTGATGAAACTCCGCTTTAGAAATGTTCTTTATTGACCGTAACGACAAAGTCTGGAGGTTAAGTGATAAACTTAAGCACGAGGCAGAATCCAAAAGAGAAAAAACTCTCTCAGGATATCTTTCCAACGTCTAGAGAAAATAATTTCCCATTTCAGTTTCTCTCGCCGTAGTTCAATGTCTTGATTACGTTTGTCGATACTGATAAGATCAATTCAGTTTTAACTTATTCGCGGAGATACGCAGACACTTGGCAAAACATGTTTACCTGAGATGCAGGTGCTTAGCGATGGCAAGGCCATGAGGAAAATTCGAAGGAAACTCTCTTTAATCCGGGCACACCATAAATCAACGGCTTATAGTTATTTCAACAGCTAGCGTTTAACTTCATTTCCAAAAGTGATTCCTCTCCTCATCCATTTAATTTCAGCATGTTAAACCAGGCGAGAGTAGTCATTTGACACGGAACGTAAAGTTTTTTAGCCCCATTAAGTACTGAAATGGATCTAAAATAAAGTCATTAATTTAGTCATTTTAAAGAAACTTCACTTTTTTCATTACTCTTTTGCTAAATCTTCTGTAAATCTTGATATAGGCAGGAGCAGTTGTAAGGATTTCAACAGGAAAAAAAATAATACTCGCGCTTTTCTCGAATAAAATCCGGCGACCAATACAAACCGGCAACAAGTTCTCTCTGGGAGATTCCGGGCTATTGTTGGAAACTTCAGCAAAATGCACCGTGACAGGTGAATTACCATTGCAAGTTACAGAAAAAGATGAATAAGGGAGATCTAAGGAAGACGGCGCCAGATCTCCCTTTTCAACAGATACACTATGTCACAACGACCAAGATAGCTTAAGATAAGTTACAGACAGAAACGTCAATAATTCACTTCCGGGGTTTCTGTTCTCAAAATACGTAAATTTTGGAGACTTCGCGCTGTTATCTTGCAGGGATCGTCCACGACATGTTCAAAGCCTTCGACTTTCTTTGTACAAAAAGTTATCTGGGTGGGAGAACTAGGGGCTTTAATTTATTCCAGCTCAAGTTACCACATCGAAAGTGCAAGTAGGACTATCTTGAACACCTGACGAAATTCGCCATTCTCACTCAAAAATAAAAGGTCAAACGGAAAAACAAAAAAATGTAACAACAAAAATTGGAGATTGGATTTTAGACAAAACTCGCATGATCACGGAATTGGTATATGATCTTCTTCTATTAATTTGGCATATTAAAACTGTCTAAAATTTTGCTGACAACCAAGGCTCGATGACAAGCTTTTGACGAGAAACTACCTGTCTTTGACATGACAAAGAAATATTGTTTTTAATTATATTTTAACTTGCATTTACTAAGTCATTCAGTGTAAAATAAGTCTAGAAACTAAGGCTTCCATTTCGACATCAACTTTTTATGAGAGGCATCAGGCAAGCGTGTATTCAGGCAGAGTCCTTTTTTCACATTAATTTTTTCTCGAAATTTTGTCTCCTTAGTTGCTAAGTTGCCACGAGTCCCAAAATTTCGTTTCATTCGGTTTCCCTCTGGTTGTGCCCTAAGGTCTGTCGCATTTTGTTCATGAAGACAGAACAGTCAGTGGAAGGTGCGGCGAAAGCGGCTCAACGGAAGTCGCCATTTCTGTAGTAAATCAATGGGTTGATCTCTGATGAAGTAAAAGCGATAGCCTCAACCCAAGGCTATGAAACAAATCTGATTTCCTTAAAACTGCACTTTGCTTCGATGTAATGAAGTTAACCTACAGCAGAACCACACTTGGCATCCATGTGATATTGGAAGCACATAAAACAAAACCGACTGTCTTGATAGCTTTCAAATTTTGCATGACACGAACTCTTATAATTTCGCCTGAGTCAGAAAGTCCTTGGTTGTTCAATGGCTTTATGGGTGACTGAAGAATACTTAAAACTTGCATAAAGAGACAGAAACAATAGCAAAGTTTTAATTCTTATGCATTTACTTTTAGCACAAAACTAATAAATGTCTAGAGATATCGTTTCGTTTGAGCATTACTTGTTAATAGCTTGCCACCTTTATGTCAATAAAAACAGTCGTGTTTTACTGAGGTTGTCCTTAAAACTGTCTCTATCTCTCTGTCTCCGTCCAAAAATATCCAGACATTCGGCTCCGATCTGGTCTTAGACCATACTGACGTGCTCTCTTTACTGTGAGGCGTTAGCGTAACCATCGAAAGGTGCGGCGGAACGCGAGGCGAAACTCTTTATTCCGAAAGTAGTATATCAATGGATTAATGGCAGAGGAGGTAAAAGCGATAGCCTCTACCCAAGGCCATACAACGGCGTCTATTTCATCAGATTCACAGAGGTTATTTGCCACCAAATGATAACATTGAACTAAAAGTAAGATCAAACTGGGCATCCATGAAACAACGTAAACACCTAAAACAATACCGACTGTTTTAATAGCTTTATAGTTTTTCACAATACGAACTCTGCGATTATTATGGTTCAGATAATTATTTCTGGGTGCTATTCTTCTACATTGGTGTCTGGCCTCTTTGAGCATGAAAATATAACTAATAGAAACCACAAATAAAGGAGTAACATATATCAAAAATGCAAGAGATAACCACAACGCTGTATCGTCTTCGTCGTTATTCACTAACATCATCGAGAAAGGAAGTGCCAATGAAAATAACCATACCAAAGTAATGACTGTGTAGCACCTTTTCTTTGTTATAATTTCCTGATAACGGAAAGGAAAGCGAATCGCAATAAATCGGTCTACAGAAACACAGCACAAGCAAAAAGTTGTTGCGGTAGTCGTGTGAACCCAGAGCATGTCTGTGAAGAAGAACACATCACTATCAGCTGATGGCTGAATAAGACAATAACTGGCGATCCAGATTGGGTCAATAACAAGTCCAACGAAAAGATCTGCTACCGACAGCGAGGCTAGGAGTCGGTTGGAAATTGTTCGCAATGACTCGCTTTTGTAGAACAACCACAATACCACTGCGTTTCCAGCTACAGCTGCTAAACCAGACAATGAGAACCACAAAGATAGAACGATCGAAGCTGTAGTGCTGAGTTGTTCTTCCGGACAAGTAGCATCCATGTTCCGCGGTTGGCAAACGGCGACGGCAGAGATTTGAAAATAGGTTTACAAAAATGAAATTTGCAATCGCTTTTTCCTGCTTTGGACCAGATGTTACTCAAACTGACGTACTGTTTACTTTTTCATTTGCCGTTTATTGGTGGAAAAAAGGAATTCATTTACGTGCAGTCTTACCTTCAGCAATTTACCAACTACAAAACGTACGTAAAACAAAAAAGATCTCAAAACAAAAATTTAATCTAAGGTCTAAATCTTCAAAACACAGCTTCATTGATAAGTCATCGAGTGAGAAGATCTAAATAAAGGTAACTTTCAATTACTTTTGTCTAGATCATCCACGCTTGAGGTGAATAAATAATTTGAGAAAGTATTCGAATTTCATTCACAGTTTAATTTTCTATCTGAGGGCACGGTAACGAATCCTGCAATCTGAATGGTTCTTTGCGCGGTCCGTATTTTCCTATCTCTGCCCACGGGCAACGGTAACGCTTTCGTGAGTCGCCGACTACATCCCCATCTTCGTTGCTATTTTTCATAAATATATCTCGTTTTTCCCGCTGGGCAGTATTTTTAAGTAAAGACGTCCGTCATTACCTCAAGGCGATGAATAACTTATAAATCCTCTCTTCCCTTTCTCTTAAATCACTTTGGTTGACAGAAAAATATTGACTTCAAAATATATTTGTATAAGCTAAAGTGTCATTACGTTGGTTGACAAGTGGCCTAAAAACCATCTGTAATTAATTTTAATCGTTCACAAAAAGTACCTAGAAAGTTAAAACGCGAAGTATTTGGTTACAATTGAACTAATCGATGGAACTTTCATTCATTTAATGTCTGAATTTTCTCAAACAAGTTGTTCGTAGTGAAAGAGCGAGCGAAGTTTTTAGTTCTACAACAAATATACACTCTCTGTGAGTCTTTCCAAGTCCGTGCAATGTGTACATTTGTACTGTAAATTGCACAACAGAAACTGAAGGAATTTAGTGAAAAAAAGGTGCATTCAATCCCCACGTGTCTCGTTGGAGTGTCTCATTCCAATTTAGTTTTTGTGGAGGAATGACCAGATTTACACACGCCATTGCAGCAAACAAACGAGCAAACTCTCACAACTTCAAAATAAAAAAATTTGAATTTACTCACAATTACTTTCCTCGCCGTTTACTTAATGAACAGAGGTAAATCATCGTACATGAATTTATCGTCGATGAGAGTGAACAATGCTTTCCGTAAGATCATTGACTGTTTTTGAAGAAAACATTGTCGTGACAGTCCTTGCCAAACTAGTTTCATTATTTTGTAAATGTGTGCATGCGCTTTTCTTTTTCTTACGCGCTTTCTATTTGACAGGTGTAACAGGTGTCAGATTGTGACAGATACTAGTAAAACAAGTTTGTTCGGAAGCCTTTTAAGCCACCTTCATCATTACACAAATGAAAACGTTTCGATGAAGCGTCTCTCTTTAATTTGCATCACCTCTATTTTAACTACCATTTACTCATGCACTTAAAAGTCGTTCAGTTTTTGGAAGATCTGGACGTAATCACAGCCTTAAATCATTCGGGTTCTTTCGGAAAGAATCTCCTTAAGTTTGAAAAAAAAAAAAATGAAAATGTTATTTACCAGCTTAGGTCGCTCCGTATTTGGAAAAACTGTGCCCTCTGTATTGAATACAGTTTTTCCCAATACGGACCTCCCGCTGGCGAATAATATGTCTGTTGTTTAACATTTAAATTAAACTGGATAATCTGACATCCGCGGTATGTGTCAAAGGAGAAGTATTAGCTTTCCAATTAAAGCTATACTGAGATATTAACGCTATAAATTAAAAAGGAAATGAGTAATATAGAAACATAAAATTACAGACAAAGAGTTGAAAGGGTTTTGTGAAGAAAAAAGTCTTAATAGCTTCCTTAAACCTGTTTAAATATTCGATATTTCTAATAGAACTAGGAAGATCTTTCCACAGTTTAAGAGCGGCAGCATGAAAAGAACGATCGCCGAGCGTATCGAGTGTTTACCCTTGCAAGAAGCAGTGTAAACCGTCATTGGAACGTAAATTTTATCTTCTGGTGTTTCCAACAGAAATCATCTCACTTCCTCGAAAAAAATAGATAATCACTCGTCCCCTTGTCAATATGATCTTGTCTCTAGACTTATTAGATGCTTTGACATTAATTCTCAGTACACATCACGACTAAATAAAAAACAACGGCTAAGTAAAATTACAATACGAGAGGGTTTGGACTCTAATGATTGCCGAATAGGACAATAGAACCCAGCCACACCCATTCAAAAAATTTTTTAGCGACCAATTCTAGCTTTCTGTTCATTCTACATGAATGTTTAATGAAAATGACCTCTTGCATGGTTTTATCATTGATAAGGAAAAAATAAATCTCGATGAAAAAAAATTACATCGTGTAGACTTTATTTCTAAATCAATTTTAACAAATCGGTGATACAGCCTTCGCGAAAATCGCGACTTTCGCCAAAAAAAATAAATGAATTGGGGAAGGATTTTCATTTTGGACAAATTCATAGGTTCATTACATTTTTAAAGCTTTTATTTCAGAAAAGCAGACGCCAAGAGGTTAAAGAAATACAAATGCAAGCTATTGACCAGGAGACAAAAGTCTGAGCCTAAGTTTGAATACAACAATAATTTCACTTCCTACAACCTCGAGTCCTCTGAATAAATGTAAAAGAATGATCCAAACTTTTCAAGACTTGAATTCAGTTAGGGATTTCACTAAAAACAAATGCTAACTTTTATTTAATTCCTATTCAAGCCGCTAAGTCAGTCCTTCCTGCTCCTTGTCCGCATCATTAACTGATCAAGCTCAGCGAAGAGTGCCTGATGAGGAAAAAAGTCATGTCATGAAGGACTTGAAACTTTTAATTATATCTCAATGTAAACAAACAATTACAAAAGAGAATTATATACGGACTGGCCGAGGAATGAAATTTATGTTTTGAACATTGTGTCTTTATGAAGGGGCTAATCTTATGATTAGGCAAGAGTGCTTTCAATTTTTGCTTGAATTTTCCTCAAAACTTTGTCTCCTTACTTGCAAAGCTGACAAGAGTTCCAACTTTTCAAACCCTTTGGCTTCGCTCAGGTTTTGCGCTTAAGTTATATTTGGTGAATTTTGTCCGTGAACAAAGGGTAGCCAACGGAAGGTGCGGTGAAAGGCTCGACGAAATTCGTTATTTCTGAGATAGTAAATCAATGGGTTGATCGCTGATGAAGTAAAAGCGATTGCCTCAACCCAAGGCCATACAACTTTGTCTATTTTGATGTCGCAACAGAGATGATTCGTCGCTGTATAATAACAATGAACTACGAGTAAGACAAGGCTGGGCATCCAAGAAACAATGTAAACACCTATAATATAACCGACCGTCTTAATAGCTTTGAAATTTTTCATAGTACCATTTCCTGGAATGTTTTTCGTGTCGAAGCTTTGACGATTTTCGTTGGGAAACATCCTTCTGCATTGACGTCGTGAAGCTTTAAACATAAACATATAACAGAAAGTTACGACAAATAATGGAGCGACAAATGTTACAAATGCCAAAGACAACCAAAGCACTGCACTTGCAATATTTCCCAACAAATCTACCGAAATTGCGGTGAAAGGAAGACATAATGAAATCAGCCACACCAAAATAATCACCGTACAGCATCTTTTCTTGGTTACAATGTCCTGATAACGGAAAGGAAACCTAATCGCAATAAACCGGTCTACGGAAACGCAGCACAAGTTAAAGGTTGTGGCGGTGGTTGTGTGAATCCACAACATGTACATACTGTAGTGCAAAGCACTATGTACTGGTGGCTGAATCAAGCATCTGATGACGATCCAGACAGGGTCTATAACCAGCCCAACTAAAAAGTCTGTTACTGACAAAGAGGTTAAGAATCCATTGGAAGTTGTTCGTAAAGACTCATTTCTGTAGAATAACCACAACACGACCGCATTTCCTGCTACAGTGGCAAATCCAGACAAAGAGAACCACAGCGATAGAACGATGGACGCTGCACTGCTGAGATGTTCGTCTGGACAGCTATCATTCATCTGAATTGTTGGCATTTGGTGACATCAGAAGCTGGAGAAGAGTTTGAAATTTTTTTTATGAATTTACCTAAATTCAATGTATTTAAACAAAGCAGATGTTACAGAAGCTAATACAATGAATTTTGCATAAATGATATCATATGATATACACCGATTTAGAAATGTAGTTGTTTATTGACCGTAAGAAGAAAGTCTAGAAGTTAAGTCCTAAACTTAGGCACGAAGCGGAATCTAAACGAGAAAACACTCTTTAAAGATATCTTTCCAACGTCCCATTTTATCCTCTTGCCGTATAGTTCAATGTCTTGATTACTTTTGTCTATACTGATAAGATCAATTTAGTCTTAATTCATTCGCAGAGATACACAGAAAATTAGCAAAACATGTTTTTCCTGAGATGCAGGTACTTAGTGATGGCAAGGCCTTGAGAAAAATTCGAATGAAACTCTCATAAATAATCAACGGCTTATAGTTATTTCAACCGCTAGTATTTAGCTTCAATTCCAAAAGTTATTTCTCTCCTCAAGCATTTAATTTGAGCATTTTGAACCAAGCGAGAGCAGTAATTTGACTCTAAACGGAAAGTTTTGGAGCCCCATCAAGTACTTAAATGGATCTTAAAAAAGTCCTTAATTTAGTCATTTTCAAGAGACTTCACTTTTGCATTGCCCTTTTGGTAAATCTTCTGTAAATCTTGATAAAGAAGGGAGCAGTTATAAGGATTTCCACAGAAAGGAAAGAATACTCGCGCTTTTCTCGAATAAATCCGGTGACCAATTCAAACAAGTTTATCTGGGAAATTCAGCTATTGTTGGAAACTTCAGCAAAATGCACCGTGACAGGTGATTAACCATTGCTAGTTACAGACAAAGATTAATAAAGGAGCTTATCCAACTGAACAAAGTAAGATACAAATAACGCGCGAATTGAGTACAAATATCCTGCGATATATATTTATCTTATTAGACGTTTTAGTATGTAGTATCGCTGAGTATTTTTACTAGTTGTGCCGTATCTTGACGAGCCCGTAGGGCTAATCAAAATACGAAAAACGAGTAAAAATTCTCAGCGATACTACACACCAAAATGTTTAATAAGTTAATTATTATCCACCTAACTTTTTTTCTCCTCATTTCTTACAAGGCTGGAAAAGGAAAGTGGATAGGGAAGCGTAGAGTGCACAGTCGACTGGTTAAACAGGTTTTTTTTTTTATAGTACAAAATAACCAACTGTGCAAATAACCGTGCAATATCGCAGGATATTTGTACTCTATTCGCACGTTTTTTGTACTCTACTTCATGCAGTTGGATAATAATTCACGGTTATTTGGACAGTTGGTTATTTTGTACTGTAAAAAAACCTGTTTGACAGGTTGGCTACACTTGTCTCCTCTGGTGCCGTATTTAACAACTGTACCATTGTCCTTAGTTCACAGGCTTCAGCTCCTCAAGAACCGGCAGCCATTCCTGCGAAGCGTCGTCGCAATGTGATTAAGTCGGATGATGAAAATGAAATGTAGTTTTGGAAATTCTTTTTTTGTATGCTTTCGTAAGAGTTTGTCTCTCGTTAGCTTACTGGCGACAAATTATTCATCACTTTTCATTGATAAACGAACACTTTTGTGCTCACAGTAGTCTCAAATGTATACGATTTAAGAGCAACAATCGAAACTAAAATTTAACTTTGAATCATTTTGAAACCTTGTGTGACAAGTTGACGTCTCATGAGCCAATCCGACGCGAGCATAACCCAAAACCTGTCACAAACCACTTCTCGGTTCGCTTCGCTTTTCCCGCCTTATACGAAGTGCATGAAAAATAAAACAGTTGGATAATAAAAAACGTATTAGAAGTTTTTGTGTGAAGTATCGCTGAGTATTTTTACTCATTGTTTGTATTTTGACTCGCCTTGCGGGCTCGTCAAAATACAGCACAACTCGTAAAAATACTCTGCGCTATTACACACTAAAACGTCTAATAAGATATACTTAAGCAAGGCGGTACCAGACCTCTTTCTTCAATATAAGATGTCAGATCAATGCTAAGTTACAAACAGAAGTATGAATAATTCACTTTCGAGGTTTCTGTTCTCAAAATACATACTTTTTGGTGACTTCACGCTGTTCTCACGCAGAGATCGCAGAGAGGAAAAACTACTTGTCTTTGACACGACAAAGAAACATTATTTTTATCAAAGCGTGTTTATTTAAACTTGCATTTATTAAGAAATAAAAAAATTCAGTGTACAATAAGTTAAAAAAATCAAGGCTTCCATTTGAATATCAACTTCTTTATGAGAGGCACCAGGCCGGCGTGTGCTCAAGCAGATTCCTTTTTCACGTGAATTGTACTCAGACTTTTGTCTCCTTAGCCCAGTTCAGACTTCAGCCCTAGCGAACTGGTCCAGCCATAGAAGTTAAGTTGAGTGAATCCATGAAATATGTCTAGTCATTGCACCACTGTGATATGAATTTTTTTCGACATTTTTCATCAGAAAGACGAAGCAAGAAAACATGCCCGCATGAGAAAAGAAGTAATCAGTCAAAACACCGCTAAAGCGGTGACGCGGTGAAAATAGCGTGCACCCACATGAAATCTTCAAAGTATGAATAAATAAATGACAAAATAAAAAAAGGTAGTTTAAAAGTGGATATTTCAATTCTCAAAGGATCACAGAATCGGCTGGTCTTCTTCCTCCTCTTAATTCTGTAGATCGAAACTGTCTGAATTTTTTATTACGAAGAGTGTTATTACAGAAATTAATGCTTGGCGATGGAAGTTTGAAGGGAATGAAGTTTTGTGCCCTGAAAGCGTTGTTTAACATGACAAAGAAATATTATTTTTGTTATATATAAACAAAGAAAAAAAACCATTTATACTATAAATATAAGACTAGGCCTCCCTTTTGAACAAGAACTTTCTATGAGGTTTGTAGGCTCAGGTTTGTTCTTAAGCAGGGTCCTTTTACGCTTGAATATATTGTCCTCAGACTTCTGTCTCCTTAGTTGTTAAGTTGCCACAAGTTTCAACATTTCGAATGGAGCGGTTTCGCTCTGGTTGTGCTCTAAGGTGTAATGCATCTTGTTCGTGAACAAAGGGCAACCAATGGAAGGTGCGGCGAAAGGCTCGGCGAAAGTCGCTATTTCTGAGGTAGTAAATCAATGGGTTGATCGCTGATGAAGTAAAAGCGATTGCCTGAACCCAAGGCAATACAACTGATTTAACTTTCCTAATTCTACATCGTTCTTCTTTGGCATAGTAAAAGTCAACCAACAGCAGAACTACACAGGGCATCCATGTGATGATGCAAGCACTTAAAACAAAACCGACTGTTTTGATAGCTTTGAAATTTTGCGTGACACGAGCTCTTATATTTTCGCTTGAGTCAGGAAGCTTCTTAGCTGCTAAAATTCTCCCAAACTGTTTTCTAGCTACTTTGAAAATGATTATATAGCAAAAGGAGACTACTAATAATGGAGCTAAAAACATTGTACATGTAATGGACACAAAAAGTTCTTTTCGATCCTTTCCTGGTTGAAAGAACAATATTGGAAAAGAAAGACTCAGTGAGATGAACCACACCAAAATAATGACCGCCAAACATCTCCTCTTGGTTAAAATGTCCTGATACCGAAAAGGAAACCGAATCGCAGTAAAACGGTCGATTGAAACACAGCACGAGTTCAAAGTAGTGGCTGCGGTTGTTTGAATCCACAGCATTTTAGTAAGCATTAACAAATTCCTTTGACCTCTTGGCTGAATCCAACATATGATAACAATCCAAACAGGATCTATGACGAGGCCGACAAAAACGTCCGCCACGGATAACGAGGCTAAAAACCGGTTTGAAATTGTTCGTAAAGACTTGTGTTTGTAGAACAGCCATAACACAACGACATTTCCAGTTATAGCGGCTAAACCAGACAAGGAGAACCACACTGATAGTACAATGGACGCCCCAGAGCTGAGATATTCCTTCGAGCAGTTACCTTTCATGTTAAGCTGGTGCAAAGTAACAGCAGAAGTTCAAAAGTAAGTCGGAAATTTAGATTTGCCTTCCCTAGTCAGGGAAAAGATGTTGCTGCGATGCTTTTTATTCCCGTTCTTGCGTAGAATTGTCAAAAATTTCCTTTCCAATATGTTGTTTATTGACAGGCACACATAATTCTTCTGCCGTTTGTTTGAGGAAATGTGCGCTTGAAATAAAAATTTTTTTGAAAACTTGCTTTAAAACTGAATATTTCTGGTATTATCTTCAGTCCTTAATGCGAAACAACTAGATTTCAATCTTTTTGCCGAAGTTTAGTGAGAACCAACAAACTTCTTTCCGATGGGCAGCTGCTTTTGTTACAATAGGTGCACGAGAAAACGCAAAGCAGTAATTCACTGTAATTAATTGACTGGCTCAGGGAGTTCTAACTTGAATCTAACTAAACCAAATGTCAAATTTGATGCTGGATATTAAAGTTAGTAGCCTAATTTAAATAACTAATGGGATAAATGTGTCAGGTTTCGAATTAGAAGTTGATCTTAAAATAGTCCGTAGTACAATACATGCGAAGAGTAACACGCAAGTTAAGCAAACTCAGACCGCGGGGAGTCCACTGCATTTTAAAGAGCTGCTTTGTTAAAATAAAAAGACATAACTAATCAACACATCTTATTTATTTCAAATTTATAAGCCTAAATGTACTCAATGGAAGCATCATCAGCCCAAATTTGAATTGATTGAAACTTCCACCTTTTATGCGCAAATCAGACTTCTTGAGAAGTACAATGAAATGGAGCGTTAAACTTTTTGTCTCTAGGTTTCAGTGGATGTCGCCCTTGTCTTAGATCTGTTGGAGACCGGGCATCCAATGGAAAGACCGGCGAAAAGCTTGTTGAAACCCACCTTTTCGGAAGTGTATATCAATGGATTGATTGCTGAAAAGTCAGCGCAGTTGCTTTAACCCAAGTCCTTGCAACTGGAATCGGTCTCTTTGAATCTCCCTGTCTACACTGTGTGGTACGATTATAATAACTAACAATAGTAAGGATTAAACAGGGCATCCACATGACGAAACAAACAATCAAAACGAGTCCAACTGTTTTTATGGCTTTGAAATTTTCACCAGCGTGGAGTCTATTGTCATTGGAGTTTCCATTTTCCTTCTTTATTATTTTGTATTGTTCTCTGGCTGTTTTGAAAATGAAAACTGATGGCGTAACGTAACCCCAAATATTGGAAAAAGAAATGTAAAGAAAGCGGAAAACAACCTTGGTTCTGCAAGATGACCATTTGCTTCATTCTTTACAATCATCATCAAGAAAGGAGTGTTATGACCCAAACTGTAGTTATCAGTCCATAACATCTCTTCTCTGTCACTATTTCCTGATAGCGGAAAGGCAAGCGAACTTCGATCAACCTGTCAGCGGAAACACAGCACAAGTTAAACGCTGTGGAGGCTGTAGAGTGCATCCATAAGACATGTCTAATAATTGCACTACTGTGATATGAAGACTAAGAGAGATATCCAGCCGTAAACAGTGGGTGCACAACAAGTCGAGCCAAAAAGTCCACCACGGAAAGCGAGGCTAAGAAACAGATGGAAATTGTTCGTTAAGATTTTTTTTTGTAGAACAACCACAATACAACGGCATTTCCCGCAACAGCAGCAAGACCAGATAAGGAGAATCATAGTGACAGAACAATGGACGTTGCATTGCTGAGATGTTCGTTCGAATAGTTCATGTTCATCACTTTGGTCAAAGAAAATGAAGAATCAAATTCGTATCACTCCAGTATGGAGGACTTTGAAAATATATTCAAGATGTCCTTCTTGGCAAACTCTTATGTCTGTGTTGGCGTATTTAGCCATCCATATGACTTTTCTAGCCCAGGCCTCCTTGGATCATTCCTGATCAGTTTTTATATTCTCCGTTCTGTTCTCCATACAACTTCTATTGCACTAACAAAGATAGTTCATGTATTAAGCAGAAAAGTCTTCATTGTTTGGCAATCATTTTCTATCATCGTGACTTTCATATTAAATTCAGGGGTCATATTGTGAGAAGAAATGTGACGTTACTCACTCTTAGGGCGTGTTTGAAGATTATTAAGGGAAACGTTAACTAAAAATTAAGCACAACAGAGATAAGAAACAGAGTTGGACTGTAGGGGGACACTCAAGGAAGCTTTGTTCAACCGAATATATTTCTACGCATGCATTCTGTACGGTACCTGATTTAATTTCTTTTCTCGGCAAAAATAAAACCAATGCATGAACATACTTCAATTTCATCTAACAAAAATATATACTCTCCAGTATGGCTGTACTGTCTTTTTTTTTCAGTTTCAGACAAAAAAAAAACTGAAAAATATCCCTAATAGTTAAAATCTAGAATCATTCATGTTTTCATGTTGAACCTTATGAGTGCCGTCTGCTGACTGCCATACAAAACCGGATGTTATCAAAATCAGGAACGGGGAACGAGGAACGGGTGTACAGCAGTAATCCACATAAGAATTCAAGTTAAAAACCCTTTTCATAAAGTCTTGACTTACCGGCCATGCTGTTTACTCCGACGTCCGAGTTGAAAGAGCGCATGCTCAAAACTGGTGCTCAGGCCCTTTTCGCCGTCTTGTCATCCGCCATTTTGAATTCTTATGTGGATTACCGGTGTAAACCCGTTTCTCGTTCCCCGTTCCCCGTTCCCCGTTCCCCGTTCCCAGATCCTGATTTTAGTAACAACGTACAAAACCTGCCCTGTCACAAGAGCGTTTTTTCAGGTGTTCTTCATTCGCGGTCCTCACTTCAAAATTTATGCTTTTACTTGCGTTTGGTTTTGAGGGTGTTACATGAATAAAAAATTCAGATCAATGCCCAATGTAAAGCGTTTATGGCCCCCTTGAACATCTTCATATCTGCATAATATAATAGTGACTCATGTAAAACATTTCAGTCTCAGTGATATCTGTCCAGTCGGTAAGGAGGACGGAAAAATGTCAAGTCTTTCCCAATTTCCTTTCTTACTTTGTTCTGCTGTCGCTGTACATCAGCTTATCGTAAATACAGCTACCGCTGTGAACGTGTTAAGAGCTAAAGTCAGCATGCATCAAACAAACAGCGGCAAGTCACCCAAATTTGTTTTCTCTCTTATTTTTATATTTTGTAGCCCAATATGTTCTAATAATAATATATATTTTAGTTTTCGAGAAATAATTGTTTTCGTTCGACCGCTCAAATATGCAAATTTTCACCGTGAATATTACCCGAGTTGTGTGACCTCATGTATCGAATGTACTACACCTACGGTATTTCTGTGAACATAATCCTTTGTTTTATGATCTAAACTTAATCCCCTGTCGTTATTGAAGCTGCCAAGGAAATATTTATTTTTTGGTGAATATTTTTGTCCGACATACTTTTCCTATGTCTAAAAGTAGCATCGAAACAAAGACAGTTTTAATGACCGACATGACACAATCTACTCAGCTTCAAGCTTTTAAAAGACCAAAGGATGGTTATAAAGTTACTGTAAAAATTTCCTTGTGTATTTCTGTTGTTCTATCTTGAGACGAACTCAAAGTCCGGTAAAATTTACTTGATAGCGACTATGAAATGTACATGGTGCGCCTAGTTGTCGCCACCGTTAACTGGCATAAATCACTACAACTTGTAAAAAAAATCTAACATAACACTCTTTTCTTGTTTATTTATGATTTTATTAGGTGTTTCGATGATCACGTTAATTATGCTCTACCACATTCAAGCCAGATTTGAGTTCCAGTTATATATCTTCTCTAACTTATTATATCAGTTGCGTGACAAGCGTGAATCAACCTCCGAAATACCAAGAGATGGGTTTTTTTTCCTCTTTGCATGACATCTAGAAAAACCTTTCAGGAATTACTGCATTCAGGAAACTAAAATGTCCAGATCCATCAATGATTCCTTTGCCGGCTGAAGTCAAAGTATGGTTACAGTGGTCAATTTGATTGACAAGCTACATACTGATTTTGTTTTGTCGCGTGCCGGCATCTTCGAGACGCCAAAAGATATCGATGATTTTACAAATTGCCCCACTCACAGATCAAATCTCGGTGTTGGGTGGAATTGTAGTTCCAATAGCAGATGTAGGGTGCCAAAAGAAATGTCCGGCCATGGTAAAGGTAGGGTTAAGTCGATTCCAAAAGCTGATAGGGGAATTAGCAAGCGTGTATCACAGATAGTACTCAAGATGTCCGGAAAATTCATACAATCTGGCTTCGGTAAGTAGGCTACTTACCACCGTGAACAAAATTACGCGTGACGTCAGAGTTAAGTCTCGATTGGGAAGTGGTCAATAGGCTACCAAAAATTCAGACAGAGGCGGAGTTTTCTGAAATAATGTCTGAACACTTTGTTGGCTTTCCGCCGTATGGGGGGACACGTAATTATGCACACGGTGGTAAAGGGCCCTTCCGCACTAGCGACTAGACGCTGACAAAACATGTTTCTCTTCGCCAAAATCACATCAGAATTTGTCCTTGCTAAATGTCAAGTGTGCTGCACGTATTAGCACCCCCAGGGGACCCTTTACATAAGAGGGCGGGGGTGCGCGCCTAGAATTTCGAAAACGATCGCTATAAAATTTTAAAAGGTGCTTAAGTCTTATCCGTGTGGGAGTGGCAACAATTAGCCTGTCAGAACAAGCCTTAAGTCCTTTTCTGTCTTTTCAATGCTTCCCTCGCTTCTACAGAGGATTCATACAAATATGAGAGCCGTGCCGCGTTTACATGGTACAGGTAGAAAAGGTCGTCCAGAAATGAGTCTTTCGTTCTGTAATGAAAACCCCAATAAACTGACTCAGAAATGACTCATTTCGAATAAATTTTACGCTGGTTATTATGTGGCAACCGGTAAGAACTCGTTCTTGCACAAAACTCATTCGGATATCATCTAAAAAGCCCCTAAAGGTTTTTATTCCCAGAGCATCACGCTTTGCTCGCCTGTCTGAAAACTAAAAATTTC